TATTGTGTTGTTCTAGATAGCTTGGTCACAAGTTTTTTCCAATTTACTAACTTTTGAAGAAAGAACCACTTTGTATTTCACTGATTTCTGTTCTAATCATGTTTCCTGTTATTGGGTGAAATATTATAGACATATTTATTAGTTTAGCCTAGCTGATACTGCTTTTCAGGTCATTTCTAAGTTTTCAGATTTTATTTAAAAAATTTTTATTGGGGATGGAGAGATTGCCCAGTGGCTAAGAACACTTGTTGCTCTTGCACAGGACCTGGGATCAATTCCCGGCACTGACATGACAGCTAACGACTGTAACTCCAGTTCTAGAGTATCTGATACTCTCTTCTGGCCTCTGTGGGCACCTAGCATGCACGTGGCACATTTACATACATGTAGGAAAAATATTCATCATTTAAAAAATATTTTAATTTTATGTGTATGAGTGTATTGCCTGCATGTGTGTAAGTGAACCCGAGTTGAACAATGTCCACTGAGGACAGAAGAGGGTGTTGGATCCCTGGTACTTGAGTTACAGATGGTTGTTAGCCAACACATTGGCTCTGGGAACTGAACCTGACTCTGGTCCTCTGCAAGAGCTCTTAACCACTGAGCCATTTCTCCAGCCCATATATATTATATTATATTATATTATATTATATTACATTACATTATATTATATATAATATATATATATATTTTTGAGACAGGGTCTCACTATCCATCCCTGGCTGGCCTGAACTTGCTACATAGATCAGGTTGGCCTGGCTCTGCCTGCTTCTCCTTCCTGACTGCTGTAATTAAAGGACAGCAATACCACCCTCAGCCTAATAAAAATAAATCTTTAAAAATTGTTATTGTATGTGGTATGTGTACATGGTGTGTGTGTGTGCATGTTTCATGGCGAACCTGTGTAGGTCAGAGGATAACTGTGGAGTGGGTTCTCTCCATTCACCTTTATGTGGGTTCTGGGGATCAAATTCAGGAGGCCAGGCTTGGGTGGCAAGCACCTTTACCATTAAGCCATTTCACCTGCCCAGCTTTCTGATTTTCTATGTTTTTTTTTTTTTTTCCAGTTACTGCAGAGAAATGCTGATGTCTTTACCCCATTACCCCCTCTTGTCCCCTCCCAGTTCTGCTGATCTCTTTTCTTTCCCCAATTATTCCCCCTTCTACGTGCATGTCTTTTTTTGTTTGTGTGACCCATTGAATTTAATCAGACATGCTTCTACCAGTGCTGGTGAGGGGTTAGTTACTAAAAGATCACAAGTTACTGGTCACACCACTGAAGAAAATATTACTCCCTCCACCAGCAACCATTAACTGCCAACAGCTCCTCGTGGAGGGGTTGGGCTTCCTGAGCCCCTCCTCCTATCAATCATTAACTGCCTATAAATCCTCAGAATTTTTTTTTCTTCTTATACCACTTTATTCCAACTCTAGCACCTCAATATACAACTAAACAGTGGTGAACTGTTTTCCTTACTAATTCTGGCTACTGTAAAATATATAAATTCTGCTATCAGTTTAACACTTAAGTAGATTAAATCATCTGACATGGTAGATTTCATACAATGAAAACACCTAAAATATACTGGCCCCTCCCTGCCCCAAACAAAAGACCTATACTTAATAGCTAGCAGTGATTAAACAAATCAGACACCTGGTTTGTTTCAGTTTTGTTGAAGAACTTACAGGAAGCGAACACTATTCAATAAAAGGCATTTAGTATTTTTATATTCCTAAAACAAGATGGGGTTACATTTGACTTTTTAAAAATCCATTAAAAATAATAGGATGGAATATGATTTAGATGACACTAAGATTCTTTCTTTCTGGAGACATGGGACATTTTCTTGGGTCTACATTAAAATATGTAATGTTTACTTTTTAGATAATAGAAGAAATGATCATTTGCTTGAATACTGTTGCTAAACATAAATATGAGTCTTCTAAAGCCCATATTGTCTCCACATCTTTTACATGTGACTACTGTCCCAGTCAGGAGAAACTGGATAGTAACTGGGTCCAGACAGTCACCTGCCTTTATCCCTAAAGGTGAGAAAGCACTCCCTCAACCTCTCCAGATTGTACACACTCAAATATGCACACACTTCTCACTTCCCTTTCTACTGAAACATTAGTCAGAGGGACACATGCATGTTATTAAAAATTAGGTTCAAACCACTCAAAATAATTCTGTATTAGAAACTTGATTCAATCACAAGTCTCTTATCGGAAGTCATACTGTGCCAGCTAAAAGCTCCAACTCCACAGTTATTGACATTTAGGAAGCAAAATACTCCAGCTAGTTCAAAGTGGAGATTTAGTTACTACACTGACTCCTGATTGGTTGTGCAGGCGCAGTAAGGTCTACTCCTCTTCCTCTGGCCGAAGTTGCCCCTGGGCTCTGTGGTTCATTCTTTGGCAGCTTTTTAGCTATTGCCATGAATATTTCATTTACATTCATTGATGTCTTAGCTGATGTCTCCACGAATAATGAACTATTGTCAACTGCATAGGATTGTGCTTCCTGGAAGTCAACAGCTCCTTTACTTGCTATATCAGCCTTGTTTCCTGATAAAGCTATTACAATATTAGGACTTGCTTGCCTCTGGAGTTCTTTAACCCAGCTCTTTGCTCTTGCAAAGAACTCATTGGCGATGTCCTACACAACTATGGCTGCCCATGGTCCTGTGCAGTACATTGGTGCTAGGCTGTGGCAGTGCTCCTGGCCAGCTGTGTCCCATCTTTCAAACTTTACTGTTGTGTCATCAAGACATACAGTCTGGGTTAGAAAAGCAGCCCTAATAGTGCTCTCCTGAAATCCAAGGAACTGGCCGGTCACAAAGTGAAGCACCAGGCTTGACTTGCCAACAGCAGACTCTCTTAGAAGTACCAGTTTGAACTGGCGCACTTCATTTCCAGCATTTGGCCTTTTGGGTCTTGTTGCTCCTCGATTAGCCCTGTCCAAATTTCAAACAAGTCCCTAATTGCGGACTCCTAAATGAACTTCCAGGATACAAGGTATCAAGTTTCTTTCTGGAGACTCCTGCCTCCCCCCCATCCACTGCTCGCTGCTGCCCCTGCTGGGCTCGTCTCTGCACCGCGCTCTGCCCTCCACCCTCCTCTCTCCCGGTCCACCGCCACCCAAATCCTCAGAATTTTTATGTCAAGAAAAGACCTGTCATCTTGGGTGACGGCTTTCTTCAGATGACACTGAATGTCAGTGGCACTTTCAGACATCATAAAAATAAGTTCGGTATTTTTTTTTTATATTTATTTTTCTGGGTTTCACTGGGTGTGGTGGCACACTCCCAGCACTCGGGAAGGAGAGGCTGCGGATCTCCAGAAGGAGGCCAGCTTGGTCTACTTAGAGAGTTCCAGGGCAGCTGGGGCTATAGGGAGACTTTCACTAAACAACAACAACAAAAGTAATGGGTTTCATTATGGCATTTTCATATATGTAAGTGACTATACTTTGTTCTTATTCATTCATTATTCCCCCCTCGACTGCTCTTGCTGGTCCCCTTCCCCTCCCCTCCAACAGTTGCCTTTTCTGTTTTCACACACATTTCATTACTCTCTCTGTACTTCCTCCCCACCTGCCATACTTCATTACTCCCAATAGAGGATCTCCATACTAAATCACAGAAGCAGCTAGGAGTATTCCATATTTCTTTTTGAATCCATTTTGGTAACATTTCCCTACGGAATTTTTAAAAATAAACTTTCAGATTCATTGGTATAAACTTATCCCCAAGGTCCTCTTTTAAAAAATATACACAGTTTTCTACAGTGATAGCTTTTTCAATCCATACTCCTTCTACATTGTTACTATTCCTTTTTCCCAATAAAAGCTCTTGGTCTTACTGATGAATTCTGAGTACAAAGGCCTTCTTACTTTGTTGTGGCACAGGTTGGGAGAGGGGGAGTCATCTCAGAGTTCTATGTAGGGTTTCAAGGTACTCTATTCAGAATATCATACCTCCATTTTCTAGTTTGCCTCTGCTTCCTTTCTTCCATTTTTTTGGTACAATGTTCATCAAGAGCATTCTGTTACCCGTTATCTGTTTTACTAGTCTTTGAACATAACCAATAAGGTGTGCTTGGCCAGGTTTTAAGTCATTTACAAGGGTTGGCTTACTCTCAGGGTCTGTGGGGCACAACTTAACTTTTCGAATTTCTTTCATTTTTAGCTGTTTGTAAGAATATGTGAAGTGCTAACAAATCAATGGTGCTTTAGCAACATGTTTGCAATATCTTCAATGTGACTATTAAGTCTTAATCACTTCTTATTCCCTAAAGATGGAGGATTGCTGGACTATAATCAGTGGCATGGAAATGGAGGAAATGATAGCTGGTTACTATAATGGAAAATAAGGGAAGAGAAACAACACTTACCAATGCCTTCTGTGCATAGACTGTCATCTTTGGGTTCTAGAAACTGTTTTTCAAGACAGGTATTAATCACTATTCTTGTTTTACTGATGAAGAAAGTGAAGCTTGAAGCTAAGTGACTAATTATAACTCACAAATGGGGGGGTTCTGGACCCAGTTATTTCTGTTCCCTCCACAACATGTAAAATTAATACAAAGGTCTTTGTTGATTCTTGATGCCGTGACATATTTTCTTTTTAACTCCAATGATATTTAAAGTTAATCCAATAAAATCAAATTTGTGTTTGGAGATACACAAACATTATGTCATTGACTGTATTTTTAATTGTCATTAACATTTTGTGTACCATTAGTCTTTATAGATCCTGACTCCAAGTGAGTTTTAGGATTCATGTTTTAAGAGATACTAAGTTTAATTATTATTATAAAAGTGACATAGAATTGTGGGTTGATCTGTTTAGTGAATTTAAGTCCTATCAGGGAATTTTACTTTGTCCCTGACTCACACAGAGAAAAAGAGCAAGTCACCTCAGTCTCATCATCCAGCTGGTGATTTGTAATGAAATCTTCCAAGGCTCCAAATATTATTGAAAACTTCAACACAATTCTTTCATTTAGTAAGGAATATTTATTTAGAAGCTACAGTAACATGCTTAGACACAAAAGAAAATAATTAAACACATGGCCCCCAGTGAAGTGTAAAGAAAAAAATAACATGAACAAAATTTTTCAGAGAAATTTTTTGTATATTTAGAACCATAACATGCCCAAATAATTAGAAAATATTAGCCTTGATATACAAATCTCCCCCTTCAATTCTAGATTTAAATCATTTAAAAGTAAATTTTGGCAATGTAAAGTTCACAATATAAAATTTACACTGAGGTCTGAATAGAAATAATATTTTTCTAAGCTTTAGAAATCAGAAATTTGATGGCAGATTTGCATTTCCAGTCTGCCTATAAGCAACTTTCTTTCAAGAAATCAAGTGCTTTCCATTATCACATAAGGATTAGTGTTCAAATGGCCATTTTTAGTACACATTTACTCTTGAAGAGTACTATAATTTGCAGAAAAAATTACATAAGATTTGTACCACCAAGAATTTTAGTTTGACTTCCTTATGTCTAAAAAAACCTATCAATTGTATTTGTTCTGATAATTAGCTATAGGAGTAAAATAAAATCACCTAAAAATAGTGATAATGACTGCGACTGCTTGATGAACACTACTGTATGCTTAGCACTGTACTAAGTACTGTAAGTTACGGAGCCAGGAGTTTAAGGCAAGACTGTGATTCCAAGGCCAGGCAAGTCAATCACACTGTATGTCTTTTATAAGAACCCCCTGATCTGCTGTGATAAAAGTTAATGTTTAATAACTTTATCTGTCATATCCTGTGAACATTCAATTTGCATTACTAACATAAGAAGTAAGACCAATTCAGGTGGAACAACGCCCCTGCCCCAGCTCATTTAAATATTTTTTATTTACATATCTTTCCATCATCATTACTCTAAGAAGATTATAAATACAAACACGCCAGAGAACATGCAGCACATCCACAAAGGAACAAAATGTTCAGTACTAGTGAATAAAGAGCCCAAATTATTACAAAGTGCTTTAAAAAAGACTTTATGAGATATTCAGGCTGTATTTTAGTATTTTCCAATAATTGCCAAGGGATCACATAAATATATCAAACCCACTTTTTCTGAGTCAAAATTTAGTATTTCAGTGAATCAAATGGTTATCTCATTACATAATACCAAGTCACATAGCATCAAAATGAAACCGGTGTGCTTCTTGACGTTTTTCTCTATCATCTGCTTTCTGAAAGAGAATTTTAGACTAGTTTCAGTGATATTAAAATATTAAGAGTCATTTCTGAAACAGTTGATTTTTAGAAAAAGCTCACAGCAATTAGTACATAATAGGTGAGATTTTTATAATGTAATAATCTTAAGGAATATTTTATAATGAATTATCTATTAATTGAATTTAAAGACCAAGAAAAATGTTCCTAAATATTTAACTTATTATTGATTATATATTTGAAGCTGGGAGTAAACATTAGATTCTGTAAGGATCAACCATTGCATTTTCTGCCTAATCTTAAAACTGGTGTTAACAACCAAATCTAATAATGTTAAGATAATTAGTTTGTAGTTAGCCCATTGATTTAGAAGATATTTATTGACCTTCTGTTCCCAGCAAGATAGAGGGATTACTATTTTGAGGGATTAAAAAAAAACAAAACCTTATCCTGTTCAAGAACTTAAAGCTTAGAACAAGGAAACAGTAAAACATACTGTGTATCAGGATTCAACCTAAAAAATGTTACTTTTGAGAGAGAGGAAGAGAGGGAGGGGGAGAGACAGAGACAGAGACAGAGAGAGAGAGAGAGAGAGAGAGAGAGAGAGAGGGATTACTTGTGGGTTTGAGTAAGGTAACAGGGCAAGCTTTGAAAACAGTATTGGTAATGGGAAGGGGCATTCATGGTAAGCACTAAGACTGGAAGTCTAGTGGAGTCACGTGGGAGAAGTGTGCAGGCCAGGGAAAGGAACTGCACATCTTAGACAAGTGGGTAATAGCGACATGATTAAGGCTGCGTTTCACGCTGAGTGATCAAGTGCAGTAGGAAAGGTGAGAAGCTGAAGTCAGAGAGACCAGGTGAGATCTAAGGAGGGACTGAAGTAAAGAAGCAGCAGTGAGTATGCAGATGTGGGGTCAGCTGAAGAGATTCTGAATCAGCAGGGTGGCTGGTGAATGTTGAAGGCAAGTAAGGAAGGGGAGAAAGGAGGCTTTAGAATGCTGGTTTTGTGGTTAAGTAATCTTGGTAGAGATCCTGGTAATCTGACAATATTTGGAGATAATGGTTGACACCATGGGTTTAAGTGACATTGCCAGGAAGTGTAGAAAGAGATTAGGCAGGCAGTGTAGTAAAGCACGCACTGGGGGAACAGGAGAAAGCAGCAGCCAACAGAGGTGAAAAAGTGACAAAACAGACGGAAGAACCACAGAGCCATGGGAAATAAAGTATGTGCATGGTCAAGCATTCAGCTTTTAGCCACTGCATCATGACTGTTGGAAGTCCACAATATTTATCAGATCTGACAAAATAATTAACTTAATCAGGGCATGGTGGTACCCTGAGGCAGAGGCAGTCTGATCTACATAGTGTGTTCCAGGCCAGATGGGGCTACAGGGAGATCCTGTCTCAAAAGGCCAAAAAAAAAAAAAAGAACTTAATTTCCTTTCATAGGTCACGAGCTATGCGCTGGTTGGCTTCACTTGTCACCTTGACACATCTGGAAAGAGGGGATCTCAGCTGAGGCACTGCCTTTGCGGGACTGGTCTGTGGCCATGTCTGTGAGGCATTTTCTTAACTGCCAATTGATGTAGGAGGGCTCACCCCATTGTGGCAGTGCCACTCCTGTGCAGGTGGCCCTGGGTTGTATGAGAAAGCAGGCTGATCACAGGCCAGAGGAGGCAAGCAGTGTTCCTCTATGGTTTCTGCTTCAGTCTTGCCTCCAGTTTCCCACCTTGAGCTCCCTTGGCTTCCCTCAATGAAGGATTGTACTGTTAAGCTGAAATAAATCCTTTCCTCCCCCAAGTTATTTTTGGTCAATGTTTTATCACTGCAAGAGAGCAAACTAGGACAAGCTATATAATATTTTGGACTATGTTGTGATACAAACTACAGTCATCCTTGGTCTTTAAGCTATAATATTAAATATTGAATATTTCTGAATTATTTCTGATATATGAAAGACTGATTTTACTTCTGAGTAACCAATCTATGAACATTTATCAGGATAATCAACATATTCTCCATTTTATAAATTAGAAGAGCAGCCAGGATAAAATAGTAATTTTAGTTAGCACAACATGACTCTGGTAGGCATGACAATCCAAAGAAAAAAGAAAATATCTCTCTTGTGACACAAAGGAACTTTTTTGGGGGCCTTTATTGGAACTTACTAATTAAGTATTTGATACTACTTTTTTTCCTTTTTCTTCTGTGTGTGTGTGTGTGTGTGTGTGTGTGTGTGTGTGTGTTTGTGATGCTAAGGCTTCAATCTATGGCTTCAACTACTGACCCATATTTCAGCTCTTCAACATTGGTTTTGAAAAGCAACATACTACCATAATAAAACTAACCAAAGTTAATTCATTGAAAAACAAACCTTTTCCTGCCAATGTAAAATGGCAATTATTGCCAAGATGAAAACACAGACACCAATGAGAGCTATAGCAGTCAGCAGAACGATGTTACTTGGTGTAAGATACAGTTTGGCACTCCAGCTGTAGAAAAAAAGAGAACAATTAAAATAATAAATTTTAAGTCAGTAAAAATCTTAAATGATATGAGAAGGCAAAATAGCTTATTAATTAAAGTCCATTCATTAAATCACTAACCTAAGGAAAGCAGTTCAATTTAGATAATGTGGAGGCTGTTGAGGATTCTGCAGAGCTCACTCTTAGAACTGAAGTACAATGTTCTTTCATTGTGTGCAGCTCTAGAGATTACACACAGGGCATCAAGTGTGCAGGGCAAATACTTTACAGATGAGCTACACTTCCATCTCAGAATTATTCTTAAGTAAATTTATCAAGGGCACTTTGGATAATCAAAGATACCTTTTTTTTTTTTTTTTTAAACATTCTGACTGAACTGTTGAATTTGAAACCCTGTGCGCCAAAGGCTACATAAGTCATATGATTTCAGTAAGCATTCTATAGCATTTTAGTTTTGACTCTTGTCTACACATGCACTACAACCAACTAAAATAATCCTATGTCTGAGTGGGTGTTCATTGACGGCTTGGGCAAAACTGCTACCATTTCTGTGTTATGTTGGATATTTTACGTTAGGATAATGACTTTTATGTTGAGACTTAACCTTTCTGTTAATGACAATATATAGATGTCGCTCGCATAAACATAATTAGGTCTTCTCTCTTAAAACAGTACATAAAATATAGCACTTGAAAACACTAAAATGCCTAAAATCAAGGTCTTTATAACTAACGCTGCAAGTGATTATACACACAGAACTTCTGATTCTCCCTAGAAATAGGAAATAGGCATGTTTTCATTTTGAAAGTTTAATAAGGGTAAGATCATTCTAATGAACAGCAAGTAACTATTGATTTATCTTGCGATAATTAAAATTTATTGATGCATAAGTTAATTTCTCGTTAAATCTCACAATATACTTCAAACAAAATCAATTAGGGTTTTTATTATGTGCATAAATTTGAAAAGAATATTTCTTTGAAAAGAGCAAAAGAAACATGAAAAAATTTAATTATGGAAGAATCTAAAACTATGGTGGAATTCTTCAGAAATTCAGATGAATAAACCTTCAGAAAATGAATATTGTTAAGTAGTTGAAGTTAACTATTCTTAGGTATCTTAATAATAAAAAATAAAACACACTTTAGGGTCAGATGCCCTGGATCTAGAGTTATATAGGTGGTTGTAAATCACCTGATGTGGGTGCTGAGAACTGAACTCTGCAAGAGCAAGAGCTCTTAATTGCTGAGTCAGGCCCTAAACTAACCTAACCCTAACCTAAGAGTGAAGGAACATTGCAGAAGAGGGTGTGAAAAGATTGAAAGAACCAGAATATCAGGATGCCTGCTGCTGGATTGTGTCTTCTAGGTAAGACAGGGAAGCTGCACCCTTGAAATCTCCACACTATGCTTGCCTAAACAAGACCTGCATAGTGACATCAGGTGACACGCCAGCATACATGGAGAAAATTCCACAAGGCCCCACCTCGAGGTGAAGAGCTATAGTGGCTGCTGAGAGAGGGGAAATCAGTTTCTCCAGGGACAAGCTCCCTAATAGGTTATCCAATCCAAAGTGGTCAGCCCAAACACACGTACATATAAGCAGCACATAATGGACTCAGTAGGATGGATTTATACCACACACGTGTGTGTGTGTGTGTGTGTGTGTGTGTGTGTATAAAAACATATATATTTAGGAAATAATTGAAGAGGTCATGCAACTGAGAAGCAATGGGGAAAACAGGAGTAGCTGGGGGAAGAGCAAAGAGTAGAATGATGTAAATACAGTATTCATCTATGAAATTCTTAAAAAATTTAATTATGAAAATAAGTAAAGGGGCTGGAGAGACGGCTCAGCGGTGAAGAACACTGACTGTTCTTGCAGAAGACCCAGGTTCAAATCCCAGCACCCACATGGCAGCTAACAACTGTCCGTAACTCCAGTCCCAGGGGATCCAACAGCCTCTTCTGTCCTCCGTGAGCATTGCACGACACAGGTGCACTTACCTACACGCAGGCATAACACTCATACACACATAAAAAACCCCCAAAAATATTTTAAAAAGTAAAATAAAATTCCCAGAAATTTTATCACTTTAAAAAATTTTTATTATTATTATTTTTTTATGTGTATGAGTGTATGTAAGTGCGCCTGTGTTGTGCAGTGCACGTGGAGGTCAGAAGAAGGCGTCAAATTCCTGGAACTGAAGTTACGGATGGTTGTTAGCCACCACGTGCTCTTAACCTCTGAGCCATCTCTCTAGCCCCTATTTATGACTTTTTAATTTTCACTTTTCACCAGCAAATATGTTTCCGGTTGTGATAAGTGTAACAGAACTGCTACATATTAATAAAACTGACATACAAAAAAAATCAAGAGTATAGGCATTAAGTAAAAAGAAAAAGAAAAAAGAAGCCATTCCTCAGGTGCCTACTCACACAGACCCATTTCTTGTGTGTTCTTTGTGAGATAAACATGTGTGAACACATATGTACAGATGCCTTCTTTTGAAGTCACAACGCTCACTTCCATAGTTCTCCATTCTGCTTATTTGCTACTGTTGTACACAGACTCTTCTGTGTCCATGGCAGTAAACACGGTACTCTGCAAGTACTGTACTTTCTAGTTTCCTACTCCCGATTCAGATTTAATAGTTTGTTGCCAATTTCAAATATAGAAAGCTACTACAGATATATAACATGGCAGTCCCAGGTACTCAGAACACTAAAGTGGGAGGATTTCTGGAGCTGAACTTTCAGAACAGCCTGAGCAAACTAGTAAGACCCTATCACAAAACAAGACAAAAATCCCAATATCATACGACCCTAACTCAGGCAAATAACTGTAGTGATGTCATCTTATTTCAAGCCAATTGGTAACAAATTTATTTCCTTAAGGATTTTGGTATAAAAGCCCTTAAATCTTGCATAAATACAGGTAGTGATGTGTTGGTTATCCAGTTATCTGGCACAGTAGGTACTTCTGGTTTATGGAATTCATCACTTTTCAATGGGGTAAATTCTCTCTCAATAATGGACGTTAATATGACTTCACTGAATAGAGACAGAGATGGTGTGAGCTGGTTCTAGCATACCACTGAATACATCCCACCTAAAGTTTAAATAAAGACTAACACTGAGCAGGGTACTTCGTGGTAGAATATCTGCTTGGGATACATAAGGCACTGGGTTCAATTCTTAGCACTGCAAAAAAATTAAAAAAAGAAAAGAAAATTGGGGCTGGAAAGATGGCTCAGAGGTTAAGAACACTGGTTGTTCTTGCAGAAGACCTGGGTTTGAATCCCAGCACCCACATGGCAGCTAACAACTGTCCATAACTCCAGTCCCAGGGGATCCAAAGGCCTCTTCTGTCCTCCAAGGGCACTGCATGACACAGGCGCACTTACCTACATGCAGGCAATACACGCATACACATAAAATAAAAACAATAAATAAAATAAAAAAAGAAAATTATCATTTAGAACTAGTGAAAATTAAGCATTATATAATAAGTTTCTAGTTAAGTTTTTTTTTGTCTTTTTGAGACAGGGTCTTCCTGTAGCCCCAGCTGGCCTGGAACTCGCTGTATACACCAGGCTGGCCTTGAACTCACAGAAAATCACCTGCCTCTGCCTCCCGAGTGCTAGGACTAAAGGCGTGCGTCACCACGCCCAGATTAAGTTGCTTTTTAAAAACAGGAATGAATTATGAAATATCAGGGACCTTTTAGGTAGATATGTTTAGTCATTTGAATTGACTGACTCACTCATGGGAACAGAGTTGGGAATAGGAGAGTTTACAAAGATGTCACTGTATACCTATCAAATTCAGTTTAATCAAGGACATTACCTTCGAGGGACATTATGAGGGTATGGTATGACAATCAGCTGGGAATTTGGAATGATTGCAGTCCACTCTTGTTTTCTTATAGACTGAAAAAAAGAATTTAAGAACATTTAACAGCTAGTGTCTATCTATCTGTCTTTCTATCTAAGAACACTATATATATATAATTACTCTAAAAAAGGGAAAAGTCTCAAATGTTTTTGAGAATTTGAAATCCTAGGTATGAATTAAGTAAAATTTATATATATTTATTCCAAAATAGGGCTTCTCAGTCATCTGAAAAACATTTTTTTCTGATCTTTTTAGGAAAAGACTGTATTTGTGTGCTATGAATTCATCCACCCAACAGATACTCTGTACAGCAGGCATTATTCAAAGCACTTTGTGTAAATGCTGCTTGGAGCTAAAATTCAAGTCAGGAGACAAACAAATGATACTATTCTATATATCAGGTATAATAATGCTACTTCTATGTTATCAAAATAGCATTTATGTTGTAAATAGTAAAAAAAAATATTAAGAAACAGGTAAAAAGGATAGGAAGTCATGAGGTACAAGGGAGAAGAAATGGAAAAAAAAATCAAATGGTATGCTTAGGTCACTATTGAGTCAGTTTTTTAATTATTTAAAAGAAAAAAAATATTTGAATTACTTGAATTAAAATTCAATTGGATTTAAATTACTGAATTAAAACATTTAAATGGTAAATATTAAAATGAAGTAATTGTAAACAAACTAAATTTTTACTTACCTTCTCTCCAGATGGACGAGGAATACCAACAAAAAGATGGTCAAGAAAATTGGCACTTCGACCTAAACCCAGCACATTATAAGGCAGTTGAAGAGCTAAGTGTGCAGACTGGCTGAGCTGCCCAGCTGGTAAGAAGACAAAGCAGAAAGAGAAAACACTGAGGTTCACTGCACTCATCAAATACGGAAACTCTAAAATGTTGGACATTCAGGTAAGAAAACTTATTTTTAAGGTATAAAATGTTAAGCACTCGAAAGTTAATGATTAATGGTTTATAAAAAACAGCTCTGTCTGAGATACAAACACTGTATATTGTATGTTATATGTTTCCCACATATAGACATTACCCATTTGTAAATGTTTTAGGGAATATCCTAAGAATTCAGCCTGATTCAGCACAATACACAGTTTTAGGACATTTTCATCACCTGGAAACTCCACGCCCTTTGGGGCGCTCTTGTTGGCAACATTACACTTGCAGAAGTAGGTCATTTCTCTAATGTGCCTCTGTCTGTCCACAGATTTGCCTAGCGCGAAGACTTCACGTGAATGCACGGCGACATCACAGGGGCCTTTGTTGGCAGCTTCTTTCCCTTTGCCTGTTCTTGAGGTTCACACTGTAGCACGCGTCAGCACTTCATTATCTTAACTGCCACACATGGTAACACGCTACATTTCGTCTCATAATGTAGCTTCATTAATAGCGTTTTGGGTGGTTTCCAGTTTTGGATATCATAAACACTGCCATGAACATTAACACAGCTTTTTGTACTTATGTTTTTCTGTCTTTTGGTTACATACCTGAGAATATGGCTGACAACAGTAATTGTGTATTTCAAAACAGGCAGCAAAGAGAATCTCTCACGTTCCAACACAAACTTTAAATACTGAAGGTGTTAGTATGTCAGTTACCCAGACCTACTACATGACAGACATGTACTGAAATGCCACTGTACCCCATGAGTATGTACAATTATGATGTGGTCAATAAATAGAGCGTACATATGGAGTGAAAAAGTAGCTGCACCAGTTCTGCTCAAACAAGCAATGTATGAAGAGTTCAGTCTTTCCACATCCTAGCTAACTTTTCACCATCTGTTTTCTGTTACAGTCATCTTGTTGGGAAGGAGTTTTCATTGGTATTTCCCTGGTGAAGAATGATGTTGAACTTCTTTCCAAGTGCTTATTGTTCATCTGTGTATCCTTCATTTCTGTAAACTTAGTGTGTCCTATTTCATTCCGGAATTTTGTCCTTTTCCTGATCAGTGTAACAAAGGCTTGCTCATTTAAAACACAGTTTTCAAAAACGCATTCTTTGGTTTACTCTGTTTCTAATTTCTATTTTATTTATTTCATTATTCCCTGCCTTCTGCTTGTCCTAGGCTGACTTGCTTTACTTTTTCCAGTTTCTCTAGGTAGATTAGGGTACTTATTTCAGATACTTCTTTATTTTTAATTTGCTATTATCTCAACCAGGTCTCTAGCCCTGGCTGGTCTCAAACTCCCTATCCTGAACTTCAGATACTCTTGCCTCTACCGCTTAGAAGGCTTGAATTGCAGGCATGAGCCATCAGACAAGGTCTAAGGTCTGGGGAATCAGACCCTGGGCCTCATGCATGGAAACAACAACTTTACCAACTGAGCTACACCCTTAGCCCAGTTCTCATTCCTAGTAATAACTCTTGTCTTTAATGTCTTGACAATCTCCTGTAGACACTATAATTTTATTGCCAGTTCCGACACAATTTCTTGGTGGAATGTTTCTTTCATTTACACTTAAAATAACTGTTGATAATGTAGCATTTATACCTGCTCTTTGCTATTTGTTTTCTATATGCTTCATGTATATAAATTTATTATTTTTGAGTTAGAATTTTAAAAATTATAGGTATGTGAAAGTGAGTATTGGAGCCTATGGATGCCAGAGGCATCCGATCTCCCCAGAGCTGGAGTTACAGGTATTTGTGAGTTGCCTGGTATGGGTCCTACAAATCAAACTCAGGTCCTCTTCAGTATGTGCTCTTAACCCTGAGCCATCTTGTCAGACCAATTCTTAAAAATTTTCTGGACAGGTCTTACTATAGCCCAGACTAGCCTGAAACTCACTGTATCCTAGGCTAGTCTTGAACTCACGGTTATCTTTTTGTCTTAGCCTCTTGAGTGCTAGGATTATAGGTGTGAGTTACCACACTTGGCTCATGTAGAATTCTTTCCTTTACTGCTCTTTTATTTTGTTAACTGCTTTCTAATATCCCCCTTAATTCTTTCAGTGTTTTAAAAATATATTTTGAGTGTCACTATCTTGGTGGTTGCTCTGGGGACTCCAATGAACAAATTAGCTTAGAAACAAAATCTAGTTCAGCTTAACACTAATATAATTCAAAGTTCATATACAAACTTTGCTTTAGTATAACTCCATTCCCTCTGCCCTCCCTTGTGCTGTTATTTTTGTATAAATAAGACTTTGACCCATCTATGCGTCTGTGACTGTTACTTTATGGAGTTCTCTCTCTCTCTCTCTCTTTTTTTTTTTTAGAGGCAGGGACTTAACCATGGAGCTTAAGCTGGCCTGGAACTTCTTATGTAACACAGGCTGGTCTCAAACTCATGATCCTCTTACCTTAGCCTCCCAAGTACTGAGATTATAGACATGTACTACCATTTTTGGCTTTTAAATCACACAGGAAACAAAAGAGGTACCATATAAGAAAAATACATTCATACTAGGCTTTATATTCTGTCAACAGAATTATCATAGATACGGTTTGTGTGGATTTAAGCTGCTATCTAGTGTCCCTCAGTTGTCTTCTTTTTAGTTTTAAGAGGTTTGCTAGTGATGAATTGTGACTGTGTTATCCATGAATGTCTAGGATACTTCATATTTCAAGGAAAGTTTTGTCAGATAGAGAATCCTTGATTGACAGTTTTCCTTTTGGTATGTTTAATGTATTATCTACTGTCTTCTGGCCTACAGTTTCCGATGAGTGATTTACTTAGGATCTCTGACACATGAGTCACTTCTTTTTTGTTGCTTTCAAGAATATTTCTTGGGCGTTTGATATGATGTGTCTGAGTGTGGATTTTTGGGTTTACCCTATGTGGGCTTTTCTGATCATCTCAGCTGTGCAGATTATCATTTATCATAAAGTTTGAGTGGTTTCAGTCATTAGTCACATTATTTCTGCTCTTCTGTTTTTTCACTCTAAAATTCTTATCATCAGTGTGGTATGCCTGATGGTGCCTCCATGGCCTCTGAAACCTTTTCTTTTCTTCCGTAACTCAAAATTGGATACTTTTACTTTTTTGATGGATAGTCAAGTATGAAGATTCTTTTGCTAGTTCAAATCTGTTGCTGAGTTTGCCTCTAACCTGTATTTTCAGTTACTGTACGTGCTGGTTAATTTCTGTCAACTTGACACAAACTAGTCACCTGGGGATAAGGTAACTGAGGAATTACCTCCATCGGATTGATCTGTGGGCATATCTGGGAGGTATTTTCTTAATTGTTAATTGATGGATGAGAGCCCAGCACACTGTGGACAATGTCATACTTAGACTGTTGGGCCTGGACTGTGTAAGAAAAGCAGATGAAGAAGCCAGGGGAAGCAAATCAGCAAGCAACACTCCTCGAAGGTCTCTGCTTCAGTTTCTGCCTCCAGGTTCCTACCTTAGTTCCCTGACTTCCCTCAGTGATCAAATGTGACCTGTGAGGTGTAAGCTGAAATAAGCCTTTTTCCTTGGGCTGCTTTTGGTCAGGGAGGTTTATCGTAGCAACCGAAAAAGTAACTAGAATGCTATTTTTCAACTATAGAGCTTCTATCTGATTAAGAATTTTTGGCCTCATTTATTTTTATGTGTATGCATGCTTTTCCTGCATGTATGTAAGTGTACCCATGTTGTACAATGCCTGTAGAGACCAGAAGAGGGTGTCAGATCCCTTGAAACTGGAGTTAAGGACTGCTGTTAGCTGCCATGTGGGTTCTAAGAAATGAATCCTGGTCTTCTGTAAGAGCAAACAGTGTAACAGTGCTCTTAACCACTAAGCCATCTCTCCAGTCACTCTGTTTTTTACTTTTGGAGCACAGGATTGAATCCAGGACCTCATGCAAGCTAGGCGAGTACACTGAATTGAGACAAAGTCTCACTGAGTCCATGCTGGCCTCAAAGCCCTGGGGTCAATCTATTTTCCTGCCTCAGACTCTTGAGGTACATGCAGGGGCCAGAGCAAGACATTGACTGTCTTCCGTTATCATTTTCTTATTGCCTAGAGAGAGGGTCTCTCGCTGAACCAGAAGCTCACCATTGCTGAGCTATATCTTTAATCCTCTATTTGATTTAATGATTTCCATTTATTTATACTCTATATTCAGTTGGACACAGCTTTTTTGATTCTTTAACTCCAGTTTCTTTCAAGGCTTTGAATGCAGAGTTAGCTGATTTACAGCCTGTATCCACTAAGTCCAACATCTGGCCCCTTCAGATACATTTTCTATTTACTTTCTAATATATACATATATATATATATGGCACATTTCTGTTTCTTTTTATGATATATAAATTTTGTTGAAAATGGGCTTTGAATAGTATCACAACTGTAGTATCATTCAACCCCTTCCCCCCAAGATAGCTGTTTTTGATGTTATCGCTCTTTGTTTATTTGGTATTCTGCTGTAACAAAATACCTGACCAAAGCACTTCAGGAGAGAAGAATGTATTCTGGCTCAAAGTTTGAAGGTGCAGTGCATCATGGAAGGGGACTCTCGGCAGCGAGGGCAGCTGTAGCTATGGCAGTGGGAGCCTGAGATGGCTGGTTACATCCTGTTCACAGTCAGGAAGCAGAGAGAGTACTGCTGCTCAGCTGGCCTCCTTTTCCCTTCCAATCAGTGCATGAAGACAGTGCCGCCTACAGTGAGGTAGGCCTTCCCATCTCAGTTAAACCTCTCAAAGATAAACCTACAGGTATGTCTCTAAGGAAATACATTCTCTCGGTGTTTCTGTGAGCATGATGTTTCTAGAAAGGTTTAACTGAGGAGGGAAGAGTCACCCAGAATCTGGGCATTACGATCCTGTGGGATGGAGTCCTAGACTGAATAAAAGGAAAAAAGGAAAGCAAGCAGAATGCCAG